CTGAGCCGTCGGGATCCGTGTCCAGCTGTGTGTCCTCAGTGCTGGCTGGAGAGCAGCCCTCCAGAAACCGCCCCTGGAGCAGTGCCACCCAGGACTCTGCCAGGCAGCCGCTCCTGGGCCACGAGCGGACTGGCGGCTTCAAAGGCTGCCTTTGTATGGGCTCCCCCTGAAGCGAGGGAGGACAAGCCGTGCATCTCAGGGGTGGGGCCGTGTCTGCAGGTTGTTGCTTAGGCCGCTGGTACCATTATTGTTAAAACTGACACACAGCTCTCAGTAGGTGACTTTTCATGAACGGAAGTGTCGCTTCCATCACACCAGGTGTGAATTGGGTGGGGCCGGAGTGGGAGGGGTAGGGGGGAGTCGGGCAGAGGTAGTGTGGCCTGGCACTGACTGGTTGTATGGCCCTGAACTCGTCACTGCCCAAGCCCCTCTCTGGGCATCAGGAGTGTCTGAGATCAGGTGGCTCGTGCGGGTCTCGGGCTGATGTCTGTGGAGCACTGGTCCTGCCATACACTGGTCTGGGCCGTGGACATGGGGAGCAAGCAGGGCACAGACCTCAAACCTCACAGAGGGGGGTGTGTACACACATTCACACTCATGCAGACATGCACACTTACACACATTTGCAGTCACGCTGTCACATACACTCACGTACACATGCATTCACACTCATGCACACATGCACTCACACACACAGTTGCATAGTTACACATGTACACACAGTCATACACACAATACACTATACACTCACAGTCACCTTCATACACACACTCTCACATACACATTCTCATACACTCACACTGATACATTATATACACACGCTCATCCACGCTCTCACACACGCTTGGCTGTGGTTTGTGGGGAAGCTCATTTCTCACTTTGTTCTGCTCAGCACCGTGGGCCTCTGGAGTCTAGCACGGCCACTTTATAGGTGGGGACACCAAGACACAGAAGCTGTGACTGGCGTGATAAAGGCGCACCTGTATGGTGGCAGCGTCCCCTCCCCATCACTCCTCTGCACCTCATCTGCTTTCAGCAGGCTCTTGTCAGCACACGACAGTATGATGTCACGGGAGGCTGCAGACCTGCTCAGTCCCTTAGAGCGCCTGGGCACGGATAAGGAACCTGGGTCTCCCTGCTCCTGTTAACAAAAACCTCCAGACCTCAGGGTGCTGCATGCCACCTGTGCTGCTAATAAGCTGTTACTGAGACTGTCTGAGTCTTAGTATTGTGTCGGTAAAAAGGGAAACTATCCACTGGTGGCTGGGAATACTCGTGAGGTCATGTGCCAGAACGCCTAGTGCCAGGCCAGTGCACTGACGAGCTGCTGGAGTGCAGAGCATGGACAGGAGGAGGGAATGGCTTCAGGGAGCACCGTCCGTTGGAGTCAGAGGCTGAAACCAACTTCTGCACGGCCGCGAGTTTAGGTTCTGGGATGAAATGAGATTCCTAACACAGGAAGGGTCTTGAGCAGTCCCCTGCCCAGGGAGGCCAGGTTCATCTGGCCCAGCCTTCCTCTGTCCTCTTCCCATCTGGGAAGCGAGGGGATGTCAGGGGCCGTGGAGCCAAGTCCTACCCTCGATTATCACGGCTTTCCTCACACTAGCATCTCACTTCAGGAAATGTGAGGCATATGCTTAAAAGGCAGGACACCGGGCCTTTTACAAGGACCATCTGAGGCCTGCAAAGGGAGACCTGCCTCTCTGGTCCTGAAAAGGAAGATGCAACACCCAAAGGTGTTACTTCTTCTCAAAGTTATTTCTACATTTAAATGCACTTCAGTCAAAACCCAGTGGATGTTTTATTTTTTTTTTAAGGGAATGTGACAAAATTATCCTAAAGTTCAGGTGGAACTTTTTTTAAACAGAAGACGAATGCTGGGACATGCTCTGGGACCACCTAACCAGTGCGGGAGGACTATGGTTAAGGTCCCGATTTCATACCTTATAGATTCCAGATGTATGCAAAGTCAACAGTGAAGCCACCATCACCATTATTGTCATTATTGCTTCCTGGTGGGAAAAGCAATGTCCGAACACCATTCCTATGGGGAGCAGGGCTGTGTCCTTGAATCTGCCTCCTCTGTTACAATAGGGCATCGAGCTTTGTGCTCAGAGGGGTCTGTGCCTGTAGCTCAGAGGAAGACAGCCATGCAGTGGCTCCCTGGCCGCAGTGTCCCTCAGGGCAGGTGGGCTCTGCCTCCGCAGGCAGGTGTGGCTGGGAGACCCATGGCCCTGCATTGGGAAGTGTGAGAACCGGAGGCTGGGCAGGTAGGGGGGCTCGCCCATCACCATGCAGGGGAGTTTAAATTTATTTTTTTGCAGCAGAACCCTTTTTGCAAATGCACATTTCCTGGAGCCCGTCTACAAATGACTGGGAAGGAAGTAGTTAGGGCAGAAATGAGAGAGATTCCTAACACAGGAAGGGTCTTGAGCAGGGCCGAGGCACCATCCAAGGCTGTGGCAGCTGCAGCCAGGCCCAGCCAGGAAGGGAGACATACTGGCCCTGGTTGGGGGAGAATGGAGGCTGAGTTCATGTGGGGACTCAGCTGGACACAGAGGTAAAGAGAGTCCCTTTGTGGCTCGATGCAGGCGCTCTAATCCCTTTGCTGCCTGGGATTGAACAGCTCAGGTTGGTGACCTCCTTTCCAGGTAACCGGAGCGCCCGCCTCCAGGTGTCTTTCCGAGTGTGGCCCAGGCAGAGCACCAACGAACCCCCGAAGAGGGGGCTAGAGATCCTCTGGCCAGGGGGCTCAACTTGGCTGCCCCCGGGTGCCCTGGGGAGCTTTAACCTCCGATGCCCCCCGGCAGGACCCTAAATCACACAGGTGGGGGTGGGCAGACAGGCATGGGTGTCTTTAGAATGCGCCCCAGGTGATTCTAATGGGCCTGTTCCCACCCCCGTTTCTCTGAGCCCAGGGCAGCAACTTGCAGGGTCACATAGCCAGTCTGCAGGAGGCTCCACTGAGAAGCCAGGTCCCAGGGGCAGATGGGGAGGGGCCTGCGGTGCTGAGGATCTGAGCCCGCAGGACTGAAGGGAGAGGATGAGAAAGCAGGGTGGAGGGGCGGGAGGGGAAAGGAGAGAAGCTGCTGGCAGCAGGCGCTCCGTGAGCGGGAGACTTTGGGAATTCACGGACAGCAGGCGGAGGACTTGAATCAGGAGGGAAGACAGGCACAGAGTCAGTTGCCCAAGGAAAAGTATCAGTCTGGGGGGGTGGGGGGTCTTGTTTTTTAATCCTCACCCGAGGATGTTTAGAGAGAGGAAAGGAGAGAAACACCAGTGTGAGTGAGAAACATCAATTGGTTGCCTCCCATAAGAACCCTGACGAAGGATCAAACCTGCAACCTGGGAATGTGCCCTGACTGGGAACCGAGCCCACAACCTTTTTATTTTAAAATATATTTAAAAATCATTATATTTTTATTGACTTTAAAGAGAGAGGAAGTGCCAGGGGATAAAGAGATAGAAACATCGATGAGAGAGAAACACAGATTGGCTGCCTCCTGCACGACCAGTAGTGGGGATGGAGCCTCAACCCTGGCACGTGTCCTGACTGGGAATCAAACCCATGATCTTGTTTGATGGGTTGATACTCAACCACTGAGCACCCAGCCAGGGCTGGGGGGCGGCGGGGGGGGTGTCATTGTTAGCAACTGGCTGTTTCTGGAGACCAGCCCTGCCTCTGGTGGTCAGAAGCCAGCCCGGGCAGTGGCTGTGTCTCTTCCTGATGAGCTTGGGACTGGTGTCTTTCCCGGGCTAGTTAGGCTCCTCCTCACGGCCTTGCAAACGGTGGGGGTAACCACAGCAGCCACAGTGGTGGCCGGGTCAGTGGTGGATGGGGTCAGACAGACCTTGTCTGAATTCTGGTTTCCCACCCTGGCTCCAGCTCTTCCCTCTTTAAAATGCGATTCCTTCTGGGACTGAATGAGAGAGCCAGGGTCACGGAGCCGAGGACCCACAGTGTGAAGACGGCAGGCATCGTGGCCGTTCGGTGAACAGCTGCTGCGGGGGGACAGCATCCAGTGGCCAGAGGTGCTAATAGCATGTGCTTCTGGGGGCCCCGGTCGCGTGGGCCATGTTGGTGTGGGCTGTTGTGAAGATGTTTTCTGTCTGGGAAGGAGGGGGGCCCCAAGTATCAGAAGGAAGCTGTGTTAGCCTCACAGGTTCCCAGCAGTCCCGGGAGCGAGCCAGGACTATGGAGCAGTTCATGTTAGATGAACGAAGGGAAAAAGGAAGGAAGGGCGGTCAACGATGTGGCTTCCTGGTCTCGGGTCTGCTGCCAGCCTGCCACGTGGCTCGGGCAGTTTCCGTGGCAGTGCTTTGGCCGTGGCAGGGTGTGGAGGTTTTACACCCATCAGCTCACGGCTGTGCTGAGCGAAGGGCCCGTGGCCCCCCTGCACTCACCCTCACCGGCCGACAGGTGCAGGCAGTCAGGACGGTGGAGGAGTGAGGAAGCCAGACAGAAGCAGGAGATGGTGCTTGGCTGGGAAGGGCCGTGCAGAGGAAGTGATGGTCAGGGGAATTGAAGGGTCACCAGGACCCTTGCAGGTGAGGGGAAGGGGGGCCTGCAGATGCTCACGGAAAGGCCCAGTGCGTTACGAGCGGGAACTTATTCCTTCCTGAGTGGTTCCTGGAGGACCTACGGGCCCAGCACCCCTGCGCTGCTTTGGGGGCCCACACACGTGGCAGATCAGCGGTGCTCCCAGGTCCGCTGAGCTGCTGGGAGAGCCTCCGGCCTGAATGTGGGGCAGATCTTGGAGACAGGTTTCACCGGCGCCATGGCCCCAGCCTCCTCTGACCAGATCCCCAGCTGGCTGGGGTTTCTTTCGGAGAGGTGGGGAGATATGGGACAAGGAAGGACGAGTGGCAGGTGTCTGATGGGGGGTGGATCCGGAGAGCAGAGGGTCAGCCGAGGAGGGAGAGGACCCTCCAGATCCGGCGCCTCCCCAGGGAGCCTGTCCTCCCTGCCTGCATCTCACGTGTCCCCTGCTCTCTCCCTCTTCTTCCTCTCCTCACAGCACCTCCTGCCGAAGGGAAAAGGAGACAGTCAGAGGGGGACGACCCCCCAGACCCACTGGTGTCCCCTCAACCTGATGGTGAGCAGAGCAGGAGCCAGAGCCCAATCCAGCTGGAGGTGAGTTAGGTGGTTCCCCGGGGTCCTTTCCAGGTGAACTTGGGGACCCCCAAGTTCTCGGGAGGGAGATGTGTTCCCTCCCCCATTGCTGCAGAGCCAGGAGCGGGCCCGGCCCTGCTCTGGGAGGCGTGGGAGCCAGGCAGGCAGGAGGGCTCGCCCTCGCCAGGGTGGGTGCCAGACTTCTCTTTCATAGCGGAGCCCTGTATCAACGAAGCTTGCCTGGAGCTCTGATCAGACGACACAGATAAAAGCACTGTCCTATGATGCAAAACTGCATTTACACCCACCCATCCGCCCACACGTGTAGCATGGACATGGACACCACGGGGTGAGGTCACGGAGGCTGAGGAGCGGTGGGGACACGGCAGAGTGGCCGGCTCGGCACCCGCTCAGCTCGGCTGTTTGCTTTGGCAGCAGGCTGGAGCGAAATCCTAATCCATGTAGGAGAGTGGGTGCCCGTGGTCACAGTTTAATGGCCTGCGTGGAGTGCAGAGAAGCACAAATGCATGTGACGAGCTTCTTTCTGGGGCAGCACCACCCAGAGCCTTGGTCTCCAGGATGTTAGTTTCATAGGTAACGCTTGAGCTTGCGTGTTTATCATCAAGAACACGGAAACGGCACTTGGTGGACTATCTGGGGAACGCATGGCTCTCTGTGCTGTTCCAGGTCCTTCTGGTATTTGGGGCCTCCCACCCACGACCTGGGAGCTTCTGTTCCCTGAGCCCTCAGCCCCAGCCCAGCCGTTCCCCCTGCCCTGAGCCACTAGCCCGATGACCAGCACCAGGAGGAACTGCACCTCTGAGAGCAGAAGCCAAAAGTCCTGTGCATTTGACAGTGTGCCAGGAACCGGGACGCGGCCCCTCCTCCCTGAGGTCAGCACAGCCCGGCGGGTCAGGGAGGAAGGCACCACGGCTCAGGCTGGCTGGGCACAGGCCCGGCCAAGCAGCCCCCGGTGCCAGAAAGCACAAGCACCTTTGTGCCTTTACTTTTTTTTTTTTTAATCCTCACCCGATATGTTTATTGATTTTAGAGAAAGGAAGGGGCGGGGGGAGAGAGAAACATCAAGCTGTTGCCTCCTGTGTGGACATCCTTTCGGTGTACGGGGATGCTCCAACCAACTGAGCCACGGCCACGGCTGCTCCTTCAGCTTTGACCCCCGGGGCCACGTGGGGGCCTAGGGACACAGCCTGTCTCCAGGAGCTCAGTCTGGAGAGGAGCCGAGACGGAGAGGTCACCCATCTCGAGCCAGATAAGGAGGTGATCGGGCCGGGCCGGCGGGGCTCAGTGGTTGAGCATCGACCTAGGAACCAGGAGGTCACGGTTCGATTCCAAGTCAGGGCACGTGCGGGCTGTGGGCTTGATCCCCAGTGGGGGGCGTGCAGGAGGCAGCCAATCAATGATTCTTTCTCATCATTGATGTTTCTATCTCTCTCTCCTCCCTTCCTCTCTGAAACCAATAAAAATATACTCTTTAAAAAAAGACAGAGGTGACCTGTGCCTAGAGAGAGGCCTGGAGAAGGTGCGAGGCTACGGCCACCTCTGGAGCCAGCCTCTGTGGACCTGGCCTGGGGCTGGGGACAGCAGCATCTTTCTGGCACCAGAACAGTCATCCAGCCCGAGCAGGAAGCTGGCTGCTAGGGGCCTGCTCCCTCCTGTGGGAGCCTGGGGTTGGGGCCCAGTGGTCAGCCTGTTCCCAGCCACCCACTGGGGCTGA